CAGTCTAGCATTCTGTTACTAGACGTTTCCTGATAACTGCTCCAACAATAACTATTCCTCTGCCTTTGGCTTAAGTCCTCTTTTTACAGACTCGCTCACAGAATTGACCATGTCTCCTGCTTATATCTCGACACGGACCACGTAGAAAACACAGCTCTTCCACTGTTGTAGTCCAACTGTTGCATTTTTAAGAACCTGCTACCTAGCAACGCGAACGTGTTTACAGAGCCGCTGCCTAGAAACCGTCGGTGTTTATAGTGTCGCCACTTGGCAAAGGGTCTATACGCCAGAATGCCAAATATGTTTTCCATCTCTGACGACATGTTTCGGCAGGTGTGTATCCTCTTCAGTCAAAATAATTAAAATTTAAATGTCATTTACTTAGCATAACCTACGTTATGTATCATCTTTACTCTTTGCATCCTGCTGTGTATCATCAGAAGGGTATTAATGTAGCCAATTAATACAAAGCCGGTCACGGTAGCCGAGCGGTCTAAGGCATGTACTGTCTTCGCTCGCTCGGAAGCCGGGATCGTGGGTTCGAATCCCACTCAGGGCATGGATGTTTGTGTGCGATTTTCTGTGTTTGTCTACAGGTAGAGGCCTTGCGACGAGCTGATCACCAGCCCAAGGAGTCCTACCGTATGTGTAATATCTAGAAAAACCGAAGTGAACGGAGAGGTTCATGGAGGTAGGCCTAGGCCCACTGGGGCTGTAGCGCCAAGGAAAAAAAATTAACACAACATTTACAAATGAATCGCGCGAATTATTTAGAGTATAAATCTACAAATCCACTCTCACTTCACACCTACAATACATAAAGCTTCGAGCTGCTAGTCAGCGTAAGTAGCCCTCCATACACACACACACACACTGCACATACAGGTTCGCTCCTATTTACAGATGCAGACCTCGAGGAAAACATGATGAGGCACTATACTTGTAGTATTCTCTTTTATTCTACCAATTTTATTCAACTAAGTTTAATACGTATTTTATTTCTCTAAACTTTCAACCTTATCGCATTATAACAAAGTCAAAATACACATCAAAAGATTTAGAAATTTAATATTTAATTCACAGTGTTCATTAATACTGAACCATATTGGTTGACGCATTATGCTACAAGCCGGAAGGCCGCGGGTTCAATTCCCGATATCATTGGATTTTTAATTGACCAATACCTTCCAGTTTTACAATGGTCCTGGAGTCAATTCAGCCTCTAACACAACGGAGTATCAGGAAACTTCCTGGGAGGTAAAGGGCGGCCGGCGCGTAAGGCTGATAACCTCAACGTCATCTCTGAGAAAACTATCTAGAAAATATGGGAGCCTCGACGTCTCACAACCTTACGGGCCTCCGCAGCTTGTTACAGAGATAGCCTTACTTTATTTTTACATTTTACATATTGATGATCACAGAGATCGGAACCTGTTGTAGTGTAGAAAATAAAGCAGTGTTTTATTTTTTTTTTTTAATTCGCATAGTGGAGGGTAGAGTCCAGCTAGGTCCACTCGGCACGGCGGCCACTGATTGGTCTATTGTACCTGCCTCGGGTGATTATGATGATGGAGAATTTGGTGGAATGAAGATTGGCAAGGGAAACCGAAGTACTCGGAGAAAACCCGCCCCAGCGCCACTTTGTCCACCACAAATCCCACTTGACCAGATCTGGGATCGAACCCGGGCCGCCGCTGTGGGAAGCCAGCGACTAACCGCTTGAGCTATGGCGCGGCCTCAAAGCTGTGTTAACAATAGTACTTGTCTGCATTATACATATGTGTAAGCCGGGTTTCATTAAATCGTGTGAAAAGTCTATTATTTTAAAATTAATGCTACATTCTTAAACTCGTACACAAATTGTACACAAATGTGTTTACTGGGACTGCTTATCTTCTTTCAGTTTATACTTGGAAACATGTCGGAGTATTTAGTTTATCAGCAGGTTAGCTTGGCATCGAAGCGATTTACTTTATCCATGATATGTATGCCCTGTCCGTGTTGTAGTGCACTCAATTTCAACTGTTATTTCACAACATGTTTCGTCAACATAGTGCCATCATCAGGTGCTCCATTTACGTTAATCTATTGCATTGCTTGCCATTATGTCATTGTAAAATTATTTAAAATATATTTAAAAATATTCGTCAATTATAATAAATTTTATACAGTAAAATCTTGTTGTATTTTAGCGTCCTGTTGCACTGATTTAAGTCCATGATTTATTTAATCCGTCTTGCAGTGCATACACTCATTTATCTCCTTCTCTCCCTCGCACTACATGTTTCGGCATAATAATGCCATCTTCAGGTGCTTACTTATCCACGTCAAACCAGTTCATTGCATGCCATGTTCACANAGATACATATTTTAGTTATTTTAATGTGTGAACATGGCATGCAATGAACTGGTTTGACGTGGATAAGTAAGCACCTGAAGATGGCATTATTATGCCGAAACATGTAGTGCGAGGGAGAGAAGGAGATAAATGAGTGTATGCACTGCAAGACGGATTAAATAAATCATGGACTTAAATCAGTAAAATCTTGTTAAGATATTCATCTTATATATCCCAATTCAAACCCGCGCATGGTTCCTCCACTATGGGAGTCGTTCGTCTTATACTCCGTGTATATCGTGTCTCGTGATGTGTGTTCCCTTTTTGGTTGCGGGTGTTGTAATGTTGGATGTTCTGAACGTGAGTGGACAAATTAGGGATATAACGGATGGGGTAACTTTCATGAAATTCTCCATTTTCGTGACCATTTCAAACAGTGTACGACAAGAGAATCATAGATAGGGCATGTCTTCGCGTTCTTCTCCTGTTAGTTCATATCATCATCACAGTCGGCAGCACCATAGCGGAATCTCTTGGTCTGTTCCGTTTTGAAGGGTTAAAACACTTCCTTCCGCTATTCTACCAGACGTCCCTGACATTTTCCAGCATTCGGTATCACGATGAAAACTATTGAGATTAAATTTTCATGGAATATCGCTCTTAAATTTATTCCATTTTTTTAAAACTTTGATATCTCTTCTACATCACTTGTGTATGCACATTACATGTTTCGACCAACACTGGTCATGAAGAATGCCGTCTTCTGGCATGTGGCGCCGTGTAGAGCTTGTGTGAACCGACGTTTCGGAGGAACGTACCGCCTCCATCTTATGAGGCGATTTCCCCATCAGGCGATACATTCCTCCGAAACGTCGGTTCACACAAGATCTACAAGGCGCCACATCCCAGAAGACGGCATTTTTCATAGTCACTGCTGTGTAAACCCTCAAATCTTACAACACTGGCCATCTTTAGGTGTCTCTAAAATTGCTAATGAAACTGCTGTGCTTCTGTCTGTAAGTTTTAGTTTTGGGATATGCCCTCCTCTGTGCTCCAATGTGTCTGTAACATGTATTAGTATTTTCTGTATGACATGTGTCGGTGTATTTTATTATATATATAGTATTTAGGTGTTTTCATTTTTATCTCTGTTTTTATGATGCTAAATTAAGTCTTCTTTAGGAACCATGGTATGTCATACCTCGTGTAGAAAATCTTACGGAAGAAAACTTGTGCTTTTATATATAGTAAAAGTTCGATAAACAGGATTAGTGAAGCAAGAGGTAGCCGTAAAAGGNAAATCCCAGAAGACTGCTTTCTTCATAGTCACCGCCGTGAAAGCCTCAAATCTTACAGATAATTAATTTATTCATCAATAGAAGACTCAGAAGTTGTACTTGTCTCTGAACGCAATAATGTAGCTTTGAAGGAACCGTCAGTTTGTCTCAACAGACAAATGACTCATCTGCCTTTCTAAATTCCTCATGTCTTTTAAAGTATGCATTCAACTGTGAACAGCTTTCTTTCAGTTTTCATATTTCGATCCGAATAAGATGTAACCGAATTAATGAGGCAGATTCTAATGGGTTTTGACGATGGTGTATAACACTCAGAATTACTAGGTTTTAGGACCTTTTCCATCGTCCTGTATTCTAGAGACTAAAAAACACGACGTTTCGGAAACCTGATCTGTTTCCGTCCTCAGGTGAAGGGGAAGACAACGTGCTGCTCCGCGAACACAGCCACAACCTGCAACAGGGTCTTCTAGAAGCATCAAAATAAGACCAACATGCCTATGAAGACAGTCGCAGAGTACGTTGGGATGATGCTAAGATTTTTAAAATTGAAAGTAACAGCAGGTAGAGGAAATATAAGGAATCAGCCTATATGGCATGCTTAACCAATCCAATCAGTCAACCTAGTTTGGACATCTCTCCTATCTGGATACCCCTCATCAGTAATGAGGTTTCTGATTCGCAGAGATCTGTATGACGTGACAGACTCTTCATGGGTTTCCATGTGGTTTCAGTCTCGAGTGTTCAGGTTTTACTCCACAGATGACGCTAGAGGTAGATATTACATACATGTCTTCACATTTTTTCCCATTTCTTCGCATTGGTGCTAATGTACTTGATTTTGTTGGCTAGGTTTCTAGCACAAATTTCTACTTACTTTTCTATCCTAATTCCACGTATGTGTGTGCTCCATCACAATTTTTGTTGCATATTTTTTTGTTATATCTCGCCGAATTAGCCTGGCCTCAGGTGATTATATAGCTGTGTGAATGTGCCAGGGGTTGTCCAGTAAAGGAGATTAGCGCTTTCTTGAGACCCAACTGAGTAGGTGCTTTTCCCCACACCTGAAGTCGGAAACAGATCCAGTTTCCGAAACGTCGTGTTTTCAGGTCTGTAGAATACCGGACGATGGAAAAAGTCCAAAACCCCAGTAATTCTGTGAAGATTTACACTATGTGAATTTCCAACCAGTGTATGTATACCGGAAATACATTGCAAACAGAATGTAGTGACTTTCTAATGTTGACGTGACATTTTGCTTCACTGACTGAAGACGACAACCCCTCGCTGCGATAGCAGGTCCCATAGCCGATTCACTAAACCCTGTATTGATTCCTGCTAAGGATCTGGTTAGCAACGGTACTCACCGGCTACGTCCAGGGTAGCATTCCTGCTCCTAGCGACGCCGACCTGGTTGTGCGCGACGCACCAGTAGACGCCGCCGTCCGACTCCTTGCGGCCATGAACCACCCTTAGGAAGAAGAGTGATCCAGCCGGCAGAAGTACGCGGTGAGACTTGGCGTCGCTTGGAGACGTTCTCACTGGTTGGCCGTCTTTGTACCATTCTATTGTGGGTTCCGGCACACCATCAGCCTTGCAGTTCAGGGTCACGGGATCGTGCCTTGGTACTGTCACGTCTGTCGGGTGTTCAGTAATACGTGGACTTCGGTACTGTTGGTAGTGACCTGCAGGAGGAAAAGAGAGCAACAGTCTTACTGAAAATAGTGACAAATATTTAGGACCAGGCTGCAAAACTATCGTAAAAGGAATAGACATCCCTTCAACCGGCCGTGGAGACCCATAGGGTTGTGAGACGTCGAGGTTTCCACATTTTCTAGACAATCGGCTCACAGATGGCGGCGAGGTTGTCAGTCTTACACGCCGGCCGCCTTTTACTCCCAAGAAAATTTCTGGTTCTAATTACTATTAGAGGCTGAGTCCACCACAGGGCCATAGTGCGGCTGGAAGGGGTAGGTCTTTTTTTTATTATTATCATTTCTTGCAATTTACAATCTACTCTACAAGGGAGTAATAAGTAAATATGTTGTAAGAAATCACTTGTGCGGAATTATCATCCAATGATGATTCTCCTCTGTAGTATAATATGCATTATGTCGTTGAGTACGGCTACCCATCTTCAACACTGTGTTCTTTTAAGTCTGAGGGCCATTGTCGTTTTAGTCTTCGTCTGATGTTTAATGGGTTGCTTAGTTCAGTTACGCAACTGTTTTCGTGTCCCATTAGTCGGTTGTGGTATATGATAGAATATCTTTTGATTTCTTCTGTGACGAATGGGATTTGAAGATCATTGTGTAATGTGAAGTTCGAGACATACCATGGGGCGTTGGTTATGGGGCGCAGTACATTTGATTGGAGTCTTTGAATTATTTTGGTGTTTGTAGGCTTAGCACACCCCTACAGTTGAACTCCGTACGCCCAAATCGGTTTCAATATGCATATGTAAATTAAAGTCTTGTTTTCTAGGCTGAGTTTGGGTTTTCGTCCTAAGAGCCATGACATTTGTCGTACTTTAAGTTTAGATGTTGGCGTTTTGTCTTGATGTGCTTCTGCAAAGTTAGCTTCTGGTCTAGGTATCGGCTGAGGTATTTTACTTCTGTCTGTACTGGGATTTGTAAATTATTGATTGTGACTGGTGGACAGTGTGTGCGCTTTGTTGTGAATGTTATCTGCGAAGATTGAAGGGTTAGGTCCGTTGAAAAATTCAGTGACCTCATCAGGAATCGAACCCATGACTTTCTGGCTTGTAACATAGTGCTTCAACCAACTACGCTACCACGTACCCCCCTAAAACTGTCCTAACTAGTTAATATACTAACTAGGCCTAATTAACTAACGACTAACTAATTAAATAATTAAATAACCAGCTAATTTAAGAACAAAGTAACCAATCCGAACTAACAAGAACGGACGAGAGTATTCGACTGTACTAGTCAGACCCGTCGTCCCCATGAAGGGAGGCCCCATTTCAAAACGCGTATGTGGTCTTGGAATGAACAAGAATATTGTCATTAACCCTGACGTCGTTGGAAACCAAGAATGACTGTGCTAGCGAAGGCAAGCAGCAAATTACATCTCTGCTACTAACCAACAAAATAACTAGGACTAACCAATTAGTAAACTCCATGGAGCACAGTTCTTGAAAAGCCAATAAATGCTGTACTGGTCAAGAAATTTCTCGCCTCTTATGAAAATCAAATATTCATCACCGTGTCCACAAGAGCCCACCACCGGTCCATATTCTGAGCGAAATGAATTCAGTCAACAAACTCACACCCTATATCCTTAAGAACCATTTTAATATTATCATCATATGTACCAACGTCTGAGTTCTCAAGCTGGAAATGCCATTTAGTTGCTCCTACTGAAACATGGAATGCCATTTTTATAAGGTATCAAATTTCGCAAGATCCGTAGAATTACTTTTTCTCGTAGCTGTAAGTCAATCCCCTCCAGCTCGTAATGCCTAACCCCTGGCGCATCAGGTACCAGCTACATCTACTTGAGGTAGATATTGTTTGAATGACGTAATCGGGGAAAATGAGATGTATAGGGCATATAACAAGGATGGCAGAGAAGAGAAATGCATACAAAGTTTTGGCAGGAAGACCTGAAGGAAAGAAATGAAAGACAGAGGCCTAAATTAAAATGGATCTTGTAGAAATAGATATGAATGCGTGGACTGGATTCATCTGGCTCCTAAGATTTGGGCCAATGGCAGGATCTTATGAATATGGTAGTCAGTTTTTGTGTTTCATAAAATTCTGTGAATTTCTTGCGTAACTGAGCGACTACTGACTTCTGAGGAAGGACTCATATCTATGAAATTAATTAGATAGCTAAAGTGTTCATAGGCCTCTAAATATAAACACGAACAATTGCCTTTTCTTTAAATGATATAAAATTTGCATAAAATTCTAACCTTTAAAAATGAAATACGTCTATATTTCTTTGCCTAAATATATTGCCACATAGTATATGTGTGGGTATAGACGGGGTTTTGGATTGGTGCATTGATTTCTTAATCACTTATACACACAACTCCTTCATACAAGCCATTACAGTGCCACAGCTGATCTCCACAATTCACAAATCATCACAGCACTTGCTAAGCCTTTCTTCCAGCCGGCTGTGTCTTCAGTAGTCGTTCCCTGGCAACAGCTTCTAACAGTGGTGAATCTTCACACGCTCAGGTTCTAGCTTCACAGTCTCCAGTGCAGATATGCTTAACAACTGACTTTGTCCCTTGCTAGTCACGTATCACGTGGAAACACCCCGTTTTCGGAATTAACTCCATTGTTAAGTGCATATTTGTTTACAGAGCCGTTGTCCAGAGACGGCCTTTGTTTACAGAGTTAACTGCTTAGTAGGAGGACTATATTCCACAATATTATCAAGGGCAGAAGGTTAAAAAGTCTGTCACGGGGTGGTGGTAAATTTCTTGCCATACGTTCTTTTAAATACCAAGAAATATGGCACCAAACTCTCTAATTACAAGCGTAACGAACGTTAGTTCAGTGTGCACATTCCTCAAGCCGTAGTTGGTTTTACAAGTAACTGCTGTTATATAACGGGAGAGATACTCGGCAGCTCAGACTCGCTTCAACACGACTCAGTTAATTCAGCTTCAAATTAATAATTTCTCTGAGTAAGCAAGTACAAACGCATTTAGTGGATTCAGTCTAGCAGCAGCATGTTCTGGACAGCTTCCTCCATCATTTCGAGAACACCTTCACAGTTACATCCAAATTCCTTTCACTGAATTGAGTACGAAGCTCTGACCCAAATCCACAGACTCATCTCACGTGGAAGACCAGCCAGCAGAAATATCATGGAGTCATGCTTTAAAATCTCACATCAGAGGCGGAAATTAAGTTAATGAGTGAAATGACGAGTCTTTCAGGCACCAAACCACAAAAGTACTATCTGCTTTTCTGCGTGAAAACAAATGCAAATTGCCTAATCATCTTAAATTCAGTCTGGCAGACTGAAGGGTGAAAGAAGGGGTAGCGAAATAATGAGGGAAGACCAAGCGAGAGAACACCAGGAGATACACAAAACATTCAAAAAGAAAGTTGGCTGTACAATAAACGTTCTTTCCTTCCCTATTCAGTGCGATCCGATGTGAGCGGTGTCTTGTGGAAACACAAATCCACTGAAATAATACCCAATATTTTACTAGAAATTTCACGTATAAATGAGCTCTATGTTTGTGTACGTGGATTATATTACGACAAATTAGTATTGTGACGTATCGATCCACTGCTAGGCAACTGCTCGGTGAACACGTTCCCGCGGAGAGAGATTCTTGCTAAACAGTCCGTTGCTAAGTAAAACCGACAATAATACGCAGGCAAAAATCGGATAACTTCGGATTGCTACGCAACGCACTGTAAATACAACAGAAAAAGAAGAAGTGTTTTCTATGGGTTCACCTCGCGACTATATAGGTGTTTCAGTCTTAAATTAGAATTCAGTCGGTGAGAGAGAAGGAAAGAGAACGAGAAGGGAGCGAGTTTTGGGAAGTCATATATTGTGAGCTGTTGCAATTGGTTGTGATTAGGAGAGGTAAAAGAAGGCGTTAATGAATCCAATCATCCAATCCAGAACCCATTATTATTAGTCACGACCATAAACCCGCGACAGTGTGTAGGATATATAGCGTGGAATGACGATCATCACAATCATCATTGGCAAAGCAGTCATTTTTGAGCCATAGCCTTCCTTAGAAGACTCTGTCAGATTTGTCTTCCAGTTTTCACAGCTTTGCATTTCGGAACAATAATTTCTTTTTGTAGTGCAAGGTTGTCAGCCTTGTGTCCGACCCCCAACCTGTAGGACCAGGTCTCTGTGTTTATGTCCCCCAACGAGGCGGGGGTTGATGTTTCTTTATCATCAAATTTCTCGTAATATCTTTGATTTACACATCTCGGCGTTATTAAAGATGTCATAGCCGTTGGCAGGAGCTGGGATGGCTCAGTCGGTATAGCGACGGGCTACGGGCTGAACGGCAGGGGTTCCATTCCGAACAGGGACAAGAGATTTTGCTCTGCTCCTCAGCTTCAAGGATACATCTGACCTCCTATATACTGGGTACCGTAGCCTCTTTCACGTGGGATAAATCGGCCAGGGCTTGAAGATGAACACTTATTTCCATCCAGTTCCGAGGTAGAGAAAGGTGGCGCTATACCTTCTTTCTCTCATACGTCATCACGGTGTGGTGCTTAATTAATTAAGCAAAGGGCCTGCTGTACATTTATGATTGCACCACGGTTCGCAAACGATTGTTTTCTGCTCTTACCTGTATCAAAATGGAAAAATGAACTTGTGTATGTAGGAATTTCTGGGGAGATCCGGTAGTGTTGAAGTCTGCTATGCTCTCTGTTCAGTCGTTCTTTTCATAGGTACGGGAAGGCTGAGGAAATGATTGGTGCCGCTACAATAGCAGCCACGCTAATGCCTCGCTCTCTCCTACTATTGATCCAGAAGCGCGCGGGATGAACTCCCCACTACGCGGAAAGCAAGCTTACCAGAGCATAAACGGTACAAGTCCATCACGAAAGCTTGGACGCGATAATGACGCCAAGTAGTCTCTAAACTTTCGCTATCTGCCACTAATACAGCAGTTATTGACTTATTGGACACTGTTCGTGTCCTGTTTTGTTCC